GGGTTGTTTGGAAGAGGTCACCTAATTATTTTTGGGTGCAGCAACCATGATCCTTTCTATAAAGGAATAACTCCTGTTGATGCACATAGATTTGTAGCTTTTGTCTGGAAATTAAAACCACTATCTGACCATTTATCTAAGAAACATACAAGCAAATTATACTTGAAGAGATGCATTGATTTATTTATAATAATAACATCTGAGATTAAATATTATTCCGTCAGTGTGTGTTCTCTAAAACAGTTATCTCAAAGTTTGGACCCCTGATGTTGATAGCCTACAACTCCATTATTTAAAGGCAATAGATGGCCAGAAAATCATGGGACTGGTAGTTCGGTAACATCTGAGGGACCAGTGTTTTACATGCCTTCTCTCTCCAATAATTAATAAAATGAATTATTCCCCTCAAGTGGGTAAGGGGGGCTGGCTAGGAAGCAAAACTAGTGATGTAACAGATGGGCTGGGAGCCCTGTTTGGTGTTCTGGTTCTATCAACATCTGATAATGGTGGTATGATGGGTTGTCTAATCAAGTATACACGCAGACCTCACTTTGGCTCTGGACCCTGAATGTGAGGGTTTGAACATTCCTGAGAGTCACTCACATCTGTTGAGATAATTGTGGGCCACGCGTACGATGGTAGCAATGATTCAAGCGAACTATTTTAAAGAGGGATCAGTACTGGTATTACAGGATCATTGATTTTCCTAGGCTTTTTGCTAACAAGAAAAAGGAAAAAAATGCAGGGGTTGCATTTTTATTCTTTTAAACAGTCCCTTTTACCATGCAAGATCAAGTGGTAGACTAGTTAGGTCAATACCTGTTTGTAAAGGGGCTGATTCATTCTCAAATATATACATTTGTTATGATATATGTCCCTAACTCCAACCAGCATGCCTTTTTGTCTGGGACTGAGTGTTGGTAGTGGACAGGGATCCTAATGTTACATCCTCAGCTGTTCTCAGCTAAGTCCTCAACTGTTCCGCACTTTCACATTCTGCATATTCGTAGGGAACTTGCCCAACTGCACCCAGTGGATTGTTGGAGGGTGCTGCATCTGGGGCAAGAACTATACCTACTTTTTGATTGTCCATGGCTTTCTAGAGACTTGATTACCTCTTCCTGACCAAGGATCTTTTAGACTTGGCAAGGAAGGTGGAGATAGGGATGGTGATGTTGTCAGATCATGCGCCAATCTCTCTAGAGATGACATCTACCCTGTTCCCCCCCCACTGAATGCATCTGGAGACTCAACAAGCTATACTTCTTGATAATACTGTTGTGCAGGAACTCACTTATGTCCTATCTCATTATGTCACTGACCACTCTGGTCTGGATTTAACACCAGTAACTGTGTGGAAGCTGCACAAATGTGTGGTGTGCTTAAGTTTCATCCTGGTGTGCACCCATTTCAAGAAGCAACAAGCAGATGCAATACGGCACATAAGCGCGATAACTGAATTGAAATTGTGACATAAAAGATGAACATTACAGGGAACTCATTGTTTCTGAAAGACTTGCCAACCTTGCTTCACTAGAAACATTTTCGTAATCTGAAGAAATCAGTGTTTTTTCTATGAAAACTTGAATAAATATAGTAGATAGAACCAATGTTATGCAAACGTCAATAGCGGTTTTATATATCCTTCGTTATGGCTGATGCGGAAATGCCAACCTCTTTCCCAACAGAGATTGCAGTTGTGTTTCATGCTATTCCTCCCTTTACAATTTGCATTCAGGTGAATCTGAGGAGTCGCTAGAGGCTATATGAACTTGGATTGAGGACTACCTGGCGAGACTTTGGAGAGACTTGGAGCACTGGAGAGACTTTGAGCACTGAGGCAGTGGAATTGCTGCAGGCAGAAATTACTATGCAGGAGCTTCAGGAAGTGATTGACCTTTAAAACAGGTAGGGTCTCAGGCCTGGGTGGTTTATCTCCAAAATGTGATATGGTTTAGGGTGAGATATTTGCCCCTTAAGGCTTCTTTCAACTCCCAGATCCACCAGGGCCATCTTGGGGGTAATTCATTGATGGCTCATATGACAATCCTCCCAAAAGAGGGTAAAGATCCTCAGTTATGTACCAGTAACCACCCCCTATCAGCTTAACGCAGATGTGAAGCTTGTCGACCTATGCTGATAATCTTTTGTTTCACGTGACACAGTCAAAATTATTGAAGAGATACATTGTTTGGCGTATACATTTGGTCAAAATAAACTTGCTTCAGAGACTGCTCTACTTGTTTCAGACCATCCCTGTGCCCTATTGAAGGCCTCTTTTAAATCGCTGATCTCGGCATTGAACAAGTACGTGTAGAAAGAAGGCAGGCCAAGAATTAAGATTTTTTTTGGGGGGGGGGATATATTATTAAAAACACTGGAGCTTACTTACTAAAGCCAAGATCTTGTCCGGATTAAAAAATAAAAGAGAAAATGGCCAAAAAGTACTGACATTGGTTTCACTTAACATAAGAATTGCCATTTCAATTAAATTTCTGTCAATCTGACCAAATCTGCATCATGTAGCAGGATGCATTTGTTTTCTGGTTTAAATTTAAGGGTTGAAGTTGAGCTGAACCTTACAACAATAGCAAACCTAAACCAGGGGAAAAGCAGTCTGAATGGCCCATATGTGTCTGCCTACCCAAAACAGAACCCCAGACCAGGCTTGGGCCCATAGTTGGTGGGAAGGAGGATGACCTGTGGTACTCTTCAAGTACCAAGGTAACGGAGGATTCAATTACATGTCTCCCACTTCCAATGGCGACTAACCTGTAGGGAGACTTTCAGCAGGTTGACTACCTGGTTAGTCAGTACTCTAACTTTGTTTAATCTTAAGGCAAATGCAATGTTAAGGATAGAGTAAAGTTGTAACAGAATCACTTACGCAGGAAACCTCATCATCTCCCATAGTATGTAGCTGCCGCTGGGTATAAGTGTCAATTACAGCTTCTCTCTTAAGTCTTATCAGCCAAGGCAACAAAGAGGATCAACTGCCAAGCCACCTGGTATTACAATGGTGAAGACCGTAACATAGAAACATAGAATGTGAAGGCAGATAAGAACCATTCGACCCATGTAGCCTGCCCAGTTTTCTAACTACTCTCATTAGTCCATGGTCTTATCTTATAGCTAGGCTAGCCCTATGCCTATCCCACGCATGCTTAAACACCTTCCCTGTGTTAATCTCTACCACTTCAGCTGGAAGGCTTTTTTATGCATCCACTACCCTCTCCGTAAAGTAATACTGGTATTATTTTTGAACGTTTGCCCTTCTAATTTAAGACTATGCCCTCTTGTTGTGGTAGTTTTTCATCTTTAAAATACTTGTTGATTACCCTTGTGTATTTAAATGTTTCTATTATTTCCCCCTCTTTCCTCAAAGCTATACATGTTAAGATCCTTTAACCTTTCCTTCTAAGTTTTATCCTGCAATCCATGAACCAGTTTAGCAGCCCTTCTCTGAACATTCTCCAAAGTATCAATATCCTTCTGGAGATACGGTTTCCAGTACTGTGTACAATACTCCAAGTGAGGTGCCAGTTGTGGTGACCTCCTTATTCTGCTGCTAGGGAAGAGCTCGCTCAGGCTTTCTCCCTGTTATATATCTTGTATCATCAGAAAAAAGACATACCTTACCATCAAAACCTATGTCCAGTAGTAGTTGGGGATAGAGGCCAGCGGCACTCTATCTCGATGCCAGTTGTGGTGACCTCCTTATTCTGCTGCTAGGGAAGAGCTCGCTCAGGCTTTCTCCCTGGTACATACTCAGCCGCTGGAGAGTGAGGATGTTAACCTCCTCTCCTTGGAACTCACACTGCCGCTGGCAAGGGAGGCTGGCTACCTCGACCTCCTCTCACAACCTGTTGTTGGGCTAGCTACCTCTGCTCCCTTACTTGTGCTCTGCCGCTGGGGAAAGAGGTTGACTAACACTACCTCTTCTTGCAGGGTTGCCTGCTGCCACTGGAGAGGGAGGCCAACAACTTCTACCTCCTCTCACTGGCGTGCACTCTGCTGAGGGAGATCGACTACCTCCACCCCCTTGGTTTGGATCTGCCACTGGGGAGGGAGGCCAACAACCTCCAATGCAACGTTCATTAAAACCCAATTCTTTAGGATCCCCAGTGAGGAAGGGTGGTGGTTAGCAGTGCTCTTCCCTAGGACTCGCTCTTCTGCTGAGACAACTATATCTGGTGCCTTGGGCTCTTGAGCTACTGGTCAGTTAAGGCAGAGGCCAGCAGCACTATGCTCTCAAACCAGGTCTTTTGCTTGAAGAGTGATGTACTATTCAAACTACACTGTCACCAGGAGGCTGTTCTCCCTGCTCTCAAGCGATGGTGTCACTTTGAGTTGGGGACAGAGGCCAGTGGTCTTCTGTCCTCGTACCAGCACTTCGGCTGGGGTTTTAACATCCACAATATGGTTTACTTGTAGGGAATTCTGCTGAACAGTCTCAAGTAGCCACCAATAAGCCTTTACAATACTCCACTCTTTTTTGACCAGAAACTCCAGGTCATCAGGGCTAGCACATGATGAACCATTGCTCCCCAATCTTGGTGAATCTCCCACCATGAAAGTTACCTCCTTTCTATAAACAGATCAGCATCTTAGAGTCTTTCCTATAATAGCCCTGCACTGTCAAAGTCTTAGCCCTCAGGGGAACAGTCACTCTCCATTCCTAAATATTTCAGCTCTGTCTGCCACTGCAGAGCACGGTACTGGTTTTCAAACTAAACTTCCTCCTGGACCAGCATTTAAATTTGGACACCCATTCCTCCTGGGGTTGATTTCCCAGTAATGGTAGCCTCAGCTCCCACTGAACCTCAGCTCGCTGCCTTGTAGTTGGGAGATATATTTTGCAGTATATCCTCTTAAACTTGAGCAATGTCTCCAAGAGCTCTAAGCAGACTTGATTCCTCAGCTCCAATATATTCTCCTCTTAAACCGGTCTGTTCAGCAGGTTAAGTGCCCCTTATGGTCAACTCTGGAATTCAGATGCTATGGTTCCTCTTGTGGCCATTGCCATAACGCGAAGCACTATCTCTGCTGGTATGTTTGGCCCAAACACGGATAATCGCCATAGCATCTCTTTCAAGACCTATGATTCAACCTCAGTCTCTTCCGATGAGAAACTGCCATTTCGATGGCTCTCTATCAGGTCACCCAAGGTGTTCCAGAGGTATCCTGCAATGAGAAAGTTAGTCCCACTACTGCCACCAGATGTAAAGGAGCTCCCGTACTCCAACCACTTACCTCAGCCAAGTCTTCTTCCTCATAGGGGACTCTGGAACACTTCAGGCCCAGTTACCAAGGTAATGGAGGATTCAATTGCAATTCTAATCCTAAAATCTGTAATATTTACAAAGCACATATTTTAAACAAAATTGTGACCAATCTATGTGGATGAATGTTCATTCACAATGTATCATTTACTTGTTTTTTGCAATCATGCAGCCAAGAAAGACAGAGACCTTAATTCAGAAGCACACATTCTAAATTCTCTACTCTGATGGGTGAGAGGTAACTTTGACCATGATAAAAGAGAAAACTACCTTTACAATAATAGCATCTAGATTATGGGTTTGTACTGATAACTAAATCCTAGTTACACTTTAGTACACCTTTTTGCTGACTTTATTTTTATTTTTATCAACAGTGTTTCACACACTCAATTCCTGATGAGACATGAATGGCTTTGGCATTTAGCTGCAAGTATTTAAATCTGGCATGGGGTTTCTGCATTGAAGCCATATGTTTATAACCAGGTAGAAAGCTACTAAATTGGAACACCACAAAACCCTGGGACCTCCGGGAAAATGTACTAGTGTGGTCCAGTCCTACAAAGGAAGGTCCCAATTTATTGAAACATAAGGAACTCTTTTGGTATATAAAGAGCAGAGATAAAGCAGCCATGGTGATTTTCCCCACAAACCTCCCAACATCATATCAATCTCAATTTCATTATTGGCAACCTTCCAATAAATAGCAAACTTTTTGCTATCAGAGAGATTAGAGGTACAAGGCACTGTATGTAAACTATTTCCCTTTAGTCATTTAAACAGTAAAAAAAATAATCGCTGGAAGATTGCATTTTTAGTGTTTTGTGTATTTTGTAAAGAATGGTGTTCAGGGAGTGGAAAAAAAACATGAACCTTTTATTTGAGCTTTAATCTGCCAGTTGTAACAGTTAACAAATATAAATATGTATTATCATTGATTCAGACAAAAAAATAATACATGTTGGAGAATTAACAGATAAGTGCATTTTTTGGCCAAATTGGAAAACACTCAGACCTGGCTCAGCTCTTTGTCCAGCTCAACAATTTCTCATTTTATGAATAAAAATTCGACACATAGAGCTCCAACTGCGTCAGTACTCCACTACTGTTCACTATATACTCTGCAAGTCTAAATGCAAATCATACAACAACTCTTGTTATTAGAATATGATTACCTTCAACCTTCAGTTATTTACTAAACTTTACTGAGCCATAAATGGGGAGATAAACGTGACCTTGTCCTGTAGAGCATAACTTCTTGCCAAAGTCAGTGCTAGATTTATTCATCAAGGGTGTTTTCACTTCTCACTGCTGGATCACCCTTCTTCCATCCAGCTGGCATTAAAACACAATATCTTCGATTTGCTAGTGAGCGCCGAGGAATAAAATTGGCGCCGCTAAGAAGTTACAACATTTTTATACAGAGATACATTCAGCCGTGGCACTAGTTTGAACACAGTCTATAGGAAGCAAAGAAGCGCCATAGAAAAAAGCATAGACCCATTGTGATATGCTAGTTGGCATTAAGTGATACACTCAGAAAATATATTTTCTGACGCAAAACTAGAGTATGTTCAGGATGCTCCATTAAAAAGTAGTCCTTATTTTTTCTTATGGCTGACTTCCGGTTCTCCCCCCATCTGAGGAGTTAAATACCCCATTAGTCCTGGGTGAGACTCCTGCCTCCTTAGATGCTTCACCCACCTTGACAGACATGCCCACCCACTCGGAGGGGGCCCAATTTTTGGCTCTGCAGCGCTCTGTGACAGAAGCCATTATGGCAGCCATGGGGTCCATGTCTTCCACCCTCTCCCACACTATATCCCAGGCACTGCTTCCACGTCCTATGGACGCGCAGAATGTGGGCTCCATGGCACCTCAATTGCGTCCTTTTATGGACCCACCTGGAGAGACACCCAGGAAGGTTACCCAAAAGGTTAACCACTCCGCTCCCTCTGCCTCCAGAACCCATAAGACTGGTGTACCTACTGTCGCCCCAGAAAGCGAGTCCCTTCCACGCAAGAGAGCCTTTCCGCGCCAGGCAGAATGGGTTACTCACCCCGCTATTGCGAGGTCCGCCCTCATGGATCCGCTGGGCGAACCTCTTTTCGACCCGGATGAGCTTCACCATCCTAGGTCGCCAGAGTGGCTCCCAGCAGACCATGTCGCCAAATATCTAGAGACCTGGGTTCGACACCCTCTCAGTAAAGCAGCCCGCAATAAATTGAGAGCAGAGTGTCCCAGGTCGGTAGTGCCTAACAAGGTGTGTTATACCCCCGAGGTGGATCCAAAGATGACCCAATTCTTGACTAAATTGGGTTGGAACCCCCGCAAGGTTCTAGACTCGGCCCTTAAGTCATACCAAGACAAACATCTTGACATCTTTGGGCCACTGGCGAAGCTCTTTGACTTGGCGGAAGACGCCAGAGCTAGAAACCGCATGGTTGACCCTGAAGACCTGCGGGGTTGGGTCCAGAGAGCAATTTGCGTGGCGGGGAGTGTCAATGCCTCCCTCTGTATGGAGCGGCGTAAGGCCATCCTATTCAAAATTGAGCCGAAATTGGCAAACCTGGCTCTCACGGAAGCTGGTAAGGAAGCCCAAGACCTATTGTTTGGCGACTCCTTCGTCAAGGACTTAGGTCGCTTCATAGGGGCATTTACAGCCTTTGACCAGGCACAGGCCTCCATGAGGAGAGTATTTAAGGGGCGGGTCTCCACCAGGGCCGGCAGATCCAGGAGCCGTCTGTCCGGCCGTCCCTATTTCCAGTCCCGTGGCTCGGGACGAGGCTCTTACCAACAATGTTCCAACTACCAGGAGGCGAATAACCGCTCTCTGTTCTTCCCGTCTTGTGGACGACCGTGGCGATACGAGGTTTCCGTGGAAACACTGGTTTTAGATGCCCATATGGTGAGTTTACCCAAACATTATGTTTTTACTCATGTTTGTGTAGGGGGCAGACTCCAACATTTTTTCCCAGCTTGGTCGGCCATAACTTCCGACGCTTGGGTATGGGACACTATCCGTGGGTTTCGAATAGAACTCGTAGGGGACCCGGTAAGTATCCCCGCACCTCGGCCGATCTGCTTCTCCCTGCAGAATCGCAGATTGATCAACGACGAGCTATCCACTCTCCTCTCCAAAGGAGCAATATAACTGGCCCCTTGTGGCCCTCCAGGTGTTCTAAGCAATATTTTCCTGGTGGAAAAGAAGGGCGGTGAAATGCGCCCGGTCATAAACCTACGCCCACTCAATGCCATGGTTCGATACCGTCATTTCAAGATGGAGGGTATTCACCTGTTGCGAGACCTACTCCTTCATGGGGACTGGCTGGCGAAGCTGGACCTGCAGGATTCCTACCTGACAGTGCCAGTGGCCGAGTCGTCCCGAGACCTGCTTCGCTTCCAATGGCAGGACGAGATTTGGCGTTTTACCTGTCACCTCTTTGGCCTATCATCAGCACCATGGTGCTTCACAAAGCTGCTATGCCCAGCTTAGTCTGGCTGCGCAGTCTGGGCATTCGACTAATAGTTTACCTGGACGACATCCTGCTCATGGCCCAGGATTGCTCCATCCTCCTTACGCATCTTCGGCAGACCATAGATCTGCTTTCCCGCCTGGGGTTCCTTATCAACTGGGAGAAGTTCTGCCTGACCCCAACCACTTGCATGGAGTTCCTGGGTTTCCTATAGGACTCGACGGAGGCAACGGTGAGCCTTCTGACAAACAAGATTCGGTCGATCCGCAAGGAACTCGGCAGGGCCCTCACCCGTCCGCAACTCACCTTGCACCAGTTGGCTCGGCTCATCGGCCTGCTAACATCGTCCATCCAATCAGTGTTCCCAGGCCCGCTCCACTACCGCGCTCTTCAGCTCCTGAAGATAGCCCACCTGAAAGGCAGTGCCTCCTACGCAGACCTGGTATCACTGGACAGCGAGACGAAGTACGAACTGCGGTGGTGGATCCTCAACCTATCTGCTTGGAACGGCAGGGCTATTTTCGGCTCAATGCCGGAATTTGCCATCGACTGCGGCACAAGCCTCCATGGTTGGGGGGCCCACTGCGAGGGAGTGTCAACTGGGGGTCGGTGGTCAGACTCTGAGTCCCAACTCCACATCAACGCATTGGAACTCTTGGCAGGCTTTGCGAGGGACCGAGCGCGGATTTGCATTCGCCTCCGCATGGACAACGTGTCTGCAGTAAGATATGTCAACCACATGGGTGGAACACAGTCGGCGATCCTGGCAGACCTGGCGAAGGACTTCTGGGAATTTTGCCTGGAACGGAACCTGGTGGTCCAGACGGAGTATCTACCTGGTCTGCACAACGTCCAGGCGGATTGGAGTTCACGATATCTCTTGGATGCCAACGACTGGAAATTGGACACATGCGTATTCTCCACTGTATCATCTCTTTGGGGGCCTTTTGCTATAGACCTATTCACATCCAGGCTCAACGCCCAACTTCCCCGGTTCTTCAGCTGGAGACCGGACACTGCGGCGGAGGCGGTGGACGCCTTCCTGCAAGACTAGCGCGGAGACCTTCTGTACGCCTTCCCCCCCATTCTCCATGATACCTCGCACACTCCTACACTCTCGCAGACATCAGGCCGAACACCATTTTGGGAGACACAGTCTTGGTTCCCTCAACTTCTCGAGATGACAGTGGACTACCCCAGGCTATTGCCATCCTTCCAGGAACTTCTGCGGGATCCGACGGGATGCTGTCACCCCCTCCTGTCAGAGGGCTCCCTTCCCCTCCTAGCCTGGTGGATTTCAGGGGACGCTGGGAGACCCACAGAGTTTCGGAGACTACTAGACGTCTGCTGGCAGACGCATGGGCGCCCGGCACTAGACGAGCATATGGGTCAGCTTGGCAAGCTTGGGCTGGTTGGTGCCTGGCTAGGGACATGGATCCCGTATCAGCACCTGTGACCATGATTCTCCAATTCCTGTCTTCCCTCTTTGAGGCAGGTAAGGCCTATTGGACCATCAACGTCTACCGATCGGCCATCTCTTTGACACACCAGGGTTTTGACGGGTTCCCTGCGGGCCAACACCCCCTGGTCTGTAGACTCCTCAGGGGCTCTCGCCTCTCCCGACCTCCTAGGCCTCGCTACTCAGCTACCTGGGACGTTTCAACTGTATTGTCGCTGCTCACGGCCTGGCCCACTAATGCTTCTCTCTCCTTACGGCAGTTATCGGCCAAATTGGTTTGCCTGTTCTGCCTCATCTCCTGCAAGAGGATCTCGGACGTCCGAGCCTTGGATGCCAGATCCTACACCCCAGAGGGAGTGACATTCAACATCAGTAGGCGTACTAAGACGTCTATTAAGTCGGTGTCCGATCCGAGTTTCCCGACTAACCCGGAGTTGTGCCTGGTGACTTGCTTACGTGAATATGAGGATCGCAC